TTCTTGATGTGTGGATTAATAAAGTTAATGGTGCGTTCCATACTGATGTGTATTCTAAGTCTACTGATGCACATCAGTATTTGAATTTTAAATCTTGTCACCCACCACATGTCAAGAGAGCGATTCCCTATAGTCAAGGTTTGCGCTTAAAGCGAATTTGTAACTCGGAAAATGCTTTTGAGGAAAAACTAAGCGAGCTAAAAGGTTTTTTGGTCAAGAGGGGCTATTATTCGGATTTTGTTGATGACCAGTTTGGTAGAGTGAGAAAAGTCGACAGGAATAATTTGTTAATGCGGAAAGAAGGTGTTAAGAATAGTAATAGGAATTGTTTTGTGGTAGATTATCATCCAGCATTGAGGGTCCTTTACAATATCTTTAGGGAATTGCAAGTAATTGTAAGTTGGTCTGAAAGGTTTTTAAGTATTATGCCAGAACCACCAATGGTGTGTTTTCGTCGGTCTAAAAACCTTAAAGATCACTTAGTCCGTTCTAAATTGAGAAGGGAAGAGGAAACGGTCGTAGGGATGTTTAAGTGCGGAAAGAAGAAATGTAAAATCTGTGATGTTATTATTGGTGCCACTTTTAAAAGCCATGTTGAGGGGCGGTCTTTCTGCATTAATCATCGCTTCGATTGTGACTCGGAGGGTATAGTATATTTGATTAGTTGTAAATTCTGTGGGTTGCAATATGTGGGGAATACCATAACACCGTTCAGATTGCGATTTAATAACCACAAGAGTGCATTAAATAGATATGGGCGGGGGCAGAGAAATATTTGTGGGCAACAATTGTATGCCCATTTTTGTGGGGAGGGACATTCAGGTCTAAGTGATTTTTTAGTGCAGGTTATTGACGTCACGGACGTTAATAACCCCACTGAGAGGGAGAGCTTTTGGATTGAGAAACTAAATAGTTATGTCCCACGTGGGCTCAATTTAAGGGAAGAGGTTTAATTAATTTATGCATAGCTAAACGTTAGACTATTTAAGCAAGAGACGGAGATGATGTAGCGTTATTCTGAAGAAGGGGCTTGTCCCCGAAACGTAAAAATATAATTTATTTACTTTGAAGATTTATGATTTTTTGATATTTATATATATATATATATATATATATATATATATATATATATATATATATATACGA